AAAATTACAAATAATTAATAGTGAAACTTTCATGGCGATCACTTGTAATGCAGGTGCGTAATTGTATATTTATACTGTTTTAATGTATTTTATAGTGTTTCATTTCTTATCATTGAATATTTTTCGAGATCTTAATGTTTTATACATTATTCTGTATATTTTTATTTTATATACCTCGTAGTCCACTCATTATTTTAAAGTTGTAATATCTATTTTTATTGTATTAAGAAATTAATTTTCTATTGTACTTCTAATATTATGCTTCTTCCCCATACGTTCACTGGTTTTGACAAATCTAATGCAAAATGAAGGGTTTCATTAATATTATATATGCACTCAAGCATGTATATTAAAAAGTGACTGTACAGTGTATAATTAATATATGAATTAATAAATTGATGAAAATTACCTAAGCAAAGTGTGCGTAGTCTACGTGCTCAGATATGAGAAAAACTCATGAACCAAGACGTACTTCATTGGTAAGCCTGCAACCTGTGACGAGAAAGAATTAATTATAGACATATACATCTCGATACGTTGCTGGCTACTGCCCGCCGCCCACCGCCCCCTGCTGCTGCTTGCCAACACGTGGTTCTCCGGCTCCGTTTCGACTCGTCGAGTTCGCTGTCACCACTCCCAAACCTGCCCATCCCGTTCCTGCCCCGTTCTGGCCCTCCTCCATCATCCTGTCACCACACTGTACATCTCTTGTTCGCCCATTTATGCCTGGTCAACCGCACCTTTAGAGGTCGACGTTGAGAGCATTGGCGCTGCTGCTCATCGCTAGTGTTGTTGTCGGCTGCTAGCCTTTCTACTCATTCCTCTCCTTCCTCACGTTTTCTTCGTTTTCTCCCGCAACTCTCGCTTATCGAGTCACTTCCCTCTCAACGTTTGTTATCGCACCCCTTCTTGCCTCTTGCATGTACGTATACTCTCGACTAAAGTTTACTCTTCCTTCATCCACCTTCATTCCCGATGGCTTTCACAACACAATGCAAACTCCCGTTTCTACTGCTGCCAGGAGAGACAGCGCTATTTACCGCGATGTACCAGTCCACGCCACCACTATGCCATCAAACCCGGAGAGTCTCCCCACGTCGCCCGCTCCCTGTCCGGTAGCGCCTTCGCCGTCAGGCCTATCCCCCGCTTCACACTGCCTGCCTCGGAGGCCGCAACGCGGCGGAGCTGGCGCGGCAACGCGTCGCTGGGAGTGACGTGGCCGTCAAATCTGGCCGCGAGACGAAGCGCGGGGTGGCGTGGGAAGGGCGGGGCGTTGCGCACGGGCGGTGGACCGCTAAGCGCCACAGCGCGTCTCGGCAGGCCACCGCGCCAGCGCCGACGCGCCCGGCGCGGACCAACGCGTGGAAGTAAGCGCGGCGGCGGAGACGGCAGGTGGGGCGGCGGCGGCGGACGGTAAGCGGCGAAGCTCCGACTAACCTCGGAGTACTTGAAAGTCGTCGCGTTAATTCGACTTTATGCAAACGAGCGCTCCCCGCCGGCGGCCTCGCCGCATCGCGCGGCCGTCGCCCCGCCCCCGCCGCCGCCCGAAAGACCACCGCAAGCCCCTGCCGCCTCCTTCCCCTTCGGCACCCATCCGCAGTAACTCCCCGGCCGGGCTGCCGATAATGCGGGTGCAGACCGCGCGAGCGCCCTAAGCAAGGACTCTCGCCCAGAACTTGGCGCGGTCGCTCGCCCGCACGGCGCGCCCGCGCCGCGGCACGGGCACGTCACCCAAGAGGAAGAAAGAACGCGCTGCTTGGGGACCCGCCTTCTCATGGAGGCAATTCCGAGGCGCCGGCCCGGGTCCTTCTCATAAAAGGGCATCGCTCTCACTGGGACTGTGTTTATATTTGCCGCACGCAAAATGCATAACAGACCACCTCTTTCATCTTACAGCGGGCTCATCTTTTTTACATACGATTACGTTACCGTAGTGATTTCCGTTTTTTTTTGCATTTTTTGATTATTAATTGAAGAAATATTATGTTAAAATGTTTTTATTTATTCTTTTGCAATCATTATTGTTTTATCTAACGGAAACAATAAAAGCATTAACTACGAATAATGTATAAATGTATTACTACAAAAATTTTTAATGCAAAACACAATAATGAAGTGGGGTTCCATTTGAAATGATTCTAAGAAATCTCATTCAGAAAATAAAAGTAAAACTGTTATCTCCCACATCTTCCAACTTCATCAAATCAGTACTTCGAGCTCGAGTAGATTACAGAAACAGAAAGTTAGCAAATATGTCGCGGTGTATTGTTGAATTTTCTAGGAATGAGAGAGTAAAATACCGGTCTGATGAACGAAACTCACCACTACACATGCTATAGAATTAATTTTACCCACACTTTTCCTTAAAAAATCGCCTAGAGGGTCAATACAATGTCAATTATTCAATACTTGGAAAATGTAGTACTCGGAGTTCTAATATTAGCCCGGGTTTACAACAATGCGGATGAAATGCGAAAGAACCTTTCGTGGTACGTGAAAATGACTTGCTCTGGAATTCCGAGCTGATAGTTGATTTTATTTAAAAGAAATTCCAAGAAGTGTTTATGAGATATGAATCAACATTTTTCAAGAATATTCTTAGTTTATTTAAGCTCTTGCTTTCTTGTGCATTAACCACCAATTTGATCGCTAGCGAAATTTTAAAATCGCATGCCGTAAATGCGAAAAATAAACATGCGAGTAATTAACACTAAAAGTTATTAAATACTTCTGTCATCCATATGATCGGCAGCCAGCTAGTTTCCCGCCACAACTTCCTCCAGTGACTTTGAACCGTAACAAAGATAGAAGGGGAGAGTAGTAGAGATAACTGTTCATTCAGTATCTTCCTGAGCTGGGAATTATTGGCAGAACAAGAAGAAAGAAATATCTCGACGAAGAACTACTTTCTGTTTCAGACAACAATATATAACGTTCATGCAATCCCTGAAGTTTCGTCAGGAATGTAGAGAACCACGAATCAATTACATTATTAAAACCAAAAAGAAAATTTTAGGAAAATGGATAAACGAAAGTACAATAGAATGAAAAAAAGAGCACAGATATAGGGAAGTGAATAATTGTGGGAACAAGTCGTTTACACGTTCACACGTTCAAAAAACGTTGTGCAGTGCTTTGGGGTTTGGATATGAGGAGCGTTCATGCCAATAACAATATGTCTATCGTCCATCAAAAATAAAATAGTAACGGCGAAAAACAGATTGTTAGCAAGTTTTCTCTTTTTCAAACGATGTATTATGATGTACGGTTTACCGATATAGTTACAATAGAATACGTACACTACTATCAAATCAATTATATATAATTATGATGATATTTCAGTTGGACATGTTTGCTTTTGTCCGACGCACCTGCGGACATGTTTGCTTTTGCATAAAATTGGGTTAGCATTATCCTGACATTTGATTAAGATAAATTATTTTAAAACAGTATATAAACAAGTATTTTATTTTTCCAAACAGACAAAACTACTACAACAATTTCTGTACCTAATGTAACCATATTTTGACCTCTAAAAAATTACAAAGAACTAAAAAGAAATTAAAAGCTATAATATGTCTATATACAGCCATGATCATCTTCTGAACAATCACAATTATCTTTCAGTTCTTGGCTATCCATTAGCATACAGTATTTTCAGTTATCGGTCCAACAAGAAGAAAGGAATACCATTCGAGACGAGGAATACCTGAAGAATTCTCTCTCGATTTATCTCCCAAATATTCAGTCAATAGACCTGCTACATTAGATCTCTTTGCCAATGGTATATCCCCTTCAATTAACTGCTGAAGGCGTAATTGTACCATATTTATTAATGAAAAACCACGTCTCCAAAGGGTCAAATATTGCTGCGTTAACTTTGACTGTATTAATCTTCTTCCCTTTCATTGTTTTCTAAATAATGATTCGTTTCACATTTATGATGTTCTGTACGTTCTTACACATACTACTCAGTTTTTGTGTCCTTGAGATCCCAGTTTTCTAATAAATAAAATAGGACGATGTTGTGATGACTTCCAAACGGAAAAAAACACACGCCATGAGCAGTCACGTGATCGTGAATCTTAATATTTTATTGGTTACACGTACATGTTCTTTATCGCTCGCAACAACTCTGTGGACATATTGGGTTTTATTTGAAAAATTATTAGGGATAATTTTACTTTTTATCCTCTACATCAGGCAGAAGATGCATCTGACGGTCATTAGTAATACTGCTAAACTCAATCCCCCCCCAAAGACATGTTTGTTTCCCCCCCCCTGAACCCTTCTCATATTTTCCTTATCCGATATCCGTTGCCCATATTCTCTTTACCTGAAAAACTCGTCTTTAATTCACTTGGATTAACGGTTAATTTTCGCCGGGACATTGTATACATAAATCAGATTCCTTTGTACAGCACATAGTTTCAATTAGCAGCCTGGTTACAACTGTAGTCGAATTAAAAAGTACAATAGTTAATGGTATAATAGTCTGTTATTAAGTAAAATATAGTTTTTACTTTCTTCCATTTTATCTTCACAAATACACTCTAGAATCATCATAATGCAAATATGCAGGAGGAAAGAGGATGTTAAGTTGTATTTCGAAATGTGTAGAAAATTATAATAATATTCGCATTTCAGTAATTTCCAAGAAAATGCAGAATCCAACATTCATGAGTCTACGAACTTCAACCACACAATCACTTGATGTGCGAGCCCGATTTGCGCATATTTCTAGTAGAAACTCGCAGAAACTTCCAGGAAAAGATGAGCATCTCCGAAGCAAAGCATTTACGCGCGAAGATAAATGAACACGTAAGTTTCGAGAACAATCCGCGCATACGTAGCGTTTGTTGCACGACCAGAAAGATGTCTTACAGCCAAGAACAGTGTCGCCAACTAATTCCGAGCGCTTCTGCAGAAACTTTGCCGGAGTCATGTCACAGAGCACACAACATGAATGACGAAGGCAGCAGCGCCAAGAATACACTCACCCGAGGTAATGGCACTGCGAGAGGCGCTGTTCAGGTTCAGTGCGGCTCGTTTTCTGGAACACAAAAGCAAGACATTTGCGCTGTAGAGGCCACTTTTCATTCCAGAGAAGCGCAGCGCAACGGAAGGTAAAACACATTTTACACGGACGCACGCAGCATTTTATGCTGCCGTCGTCGAGAAAAGATCTCCCAGTGACAGAAACACGCGAAAGTATTGACAACGGCGTATCGCCTGTGTTCTCCACCCATAAGTCGCCAGGAAATACACCACATAATGAAATAAATATCCTACGAAATCTGACCTGAATAGAGTCCGAGATTCCGCGGGCACTGACATAATTGAGAAACATTTCGTAAGCACGCGACGCAAAACTTCCGTAAGTCGCAGAGATGAAACACCCATCAACATTTAAAATATTCATACTATGTGCGGCCGTCTACCAGCAGATAGACCAGGAGTTGCTCACCGGAGACAGGCGCAATCAGCATCTTCAAAGACATGGTGTGCTAAGGAAGAATCACAACTGTAAACTCTGGGATTTTTTAAAACTTTTATATTTCCGTCCTTTTTACCCAATTTTCAATACTGTCTGCCACCGATGGATGTTCAAACTAATTTTAGGTAAGAGCTGGGAGGCTGAAGTTACTCATTCAGAAACAATATAATGTTGATATATTATGAGCCAAGTTTCAATTTTCTTCCTCAAACATTAAGGAAACTATTCAATGTTAAAATGTGGAATTTTCAACACTTTTTTTTTCAGCAAATTTGCTGGAATCTACTCTCACTATATAAGGACAAATTGATATTAGTATCACTGAATGGAGCCAAAGGATTAGTAATCGCAAGCTCAGCCTCATTTGTTTAGCACTGACGGAGAAGGAACTATAGTACGTCACAGTCGTGAAAATGTTAGTCGTCAACGTTGCATGAGGTCAAACAAACAGCTATACCTCAGAAAAAACAATATTTCAGTTATGAAGCTACAACTTCACTAAGTTACTTTGATAGAGGAGAGACGTGGCACACGAAATTTCATCTAAATCCGAGATGGTCGCGAGGGGACCTTCCCTAAAATTGGCCATTTATCATAGAATGACCCAAACAGGAAATACCCACGACCGCTTAATCACCGAACGGATTCAAAATTGCCAAAACCATTTCTACCCACACGCATCCAGTAAACTACCACACATGTCGAGACAGTCTGGAATAGAGTTTCTTTCGGTTGGGGCGGATCCTTCCTGGGGGAGATACGGAGAGGCGAAACCCCGAAAACCAACGTATAAACCGGCAGCGGATATCATTTTCGAATAGAGGAGGAACACCGCTACTTCTAGGAATACAATGGGGATACTTCTAGGGATACACATTGCACCTGCAGGAATAATGACCTATGCTATTTGATCCGGTAAAAATATACTCACTCGTACACAAAAAATTCTCGTTCACGGAAACAACGTCACATGCTTGCAAAAGGAAAGTATTTAGGAGGCGATTCTCGATTGATTGATTGATTACTAGTGGTTCCGAGCGCGTCAACTGCTAAGGTCATTAGTTCCGCAAACGTAGTGCATGTTTTCTTTTCCTCTGGCGGCGGCAGTGGTTTTCCCCGTCGATGGCAAGATTCGATGGTGACCTATAATCAGCTAGCGGGATTTTCTTCAACCAGGTATCTCCCACCAGCGGGGCATCACATTAGCCGAGACAAGCTCTACGCTCCCGACCGCTCTCCCGAAATGTGTGGAAGTGAACTGCATTTTAGTGTACGTAAGGGGTGAAGATAGAAAAGGAAGAGGAAGGAAAGATCGCGCGCGATGCGTGGCCCGTTTGTCAGGGTACTGCTCCGCCATTCGACTGGTGTTGTTCGGTGAAACCACAGGAAACTACCGGTTAGAGCAGACGATAGCTGGAATTCTCGAGACAGCGACAGAGCTCGTCCCAGCTATCTGGCTAGTGTCGAAAATCCTGCCACGGTCGGAACTCAAAGCTTGGACCTCCACGTCAGAGGCACTGCAGTGACTCCAGTTGATGCCCTGAACCACCTCCCCGGTGCGAAACTCGGTAGAGGAGCCGTGCGCACGAGCACGCGTTCGGGAGGAAGGGCCGGCGCGTGCCCCAAGAAGCGCCACTAAGCACGCCACGCGCCACGCCACGCCACGCGCCACGCCACGCCCCGCACACGAGATGAATAAGCGCGACGTTAAAGCTTTAATACAGCAGGAAGTGTACAACAAGCCGAGTCGCTGAGTCATGTTTAAGTGACTTGTGAGCGCCATGTTCGGAACTTATTACAGGCGCAGGCCTATTCATCAGCCATGGTATGGACAGGTAAATTAACACTTTGCACCGGAAGTTATTAGCAGCTTTTGTTGAACTTGCGCGCTGGATCGGGCCAAACGTTTACTCTTCTTTCACTTTAATAACTTGTTACATAACCTTTGAGTGGTTTTAATCTCGTTCTAATACTATGTTCAATCTCTCGATGTTTTTATAAATTTATTAATGTCTCAAGTTCAACTTTATAGTGTTTCTAATTATAAATTAATTTTGAATACAATGTGTCAGCACCGTTTTTCACTGACTTTCGGACACAAAAATGACATAATAAAGATTTTTATACACACAAGTGAAAATTTGGAATAACACAGTTTACGTAGAGTTAATTATGACATTGATTCTCGAAGAAATATTCATCACGCTCTTTATAATCTTCTATACGTTCTCGAAGAAACCTTCAGTCTTATAAGGTCTTGGTTAGCCGGTGCGGAAAGTGTTCTTCAAAACTATTTTGTTCTTATCTATAATTAAAGTGTAAGAAAAACTATTAGTGGACCACGTTAAACGGTGATATCTGCCTTGAGTGACATAGCACTATGTCAGTGCAAATACCAAACAATGAAAACTCAGGATAAACGCTCGTAGATCCAGTCAGGGCATCCGCAAAAATGAACGAGGGATTCATAAAAAAACAACAGTTGCAGCAACTGTTACAAAAAAATGAAGTGATACAGAAACACTTCAAAAACAAATGCAGCAAAATCAAATGCTGCTCTTCAACGTGAGCGACTCAACAAGAGGGTCTTCACCTTCCACTTTGCAGCGTGCAAAAGTCAAATACACAAGATTCTACTAAATAAAATCAAGAAAATGCTTCAAATCAAAGTGAATGCAATAACAACAAAAGAAAGCGTGAGATGAATGCAGAAGATGATCAACCAACGAAATTCAACCTTCCATTCGATGCGTCCACAGGTAGAAAACTTAAATGAATTAGCTAGACTCAAACACATTCTTGCTTAAATTTCGTCCAATAAATATCATTAAAAACGCGGACAGAGTTCCTAATTTTATAACATTAACATCTGAAATCCTACAATTAGTAACAAATGAGTTTACTTCTAAAGTCAAACAAAATCATATTGCGTTATGGTTTACAATCGAGAACTTCAGAACATTTCGCAAATATTGTGAGGAAAAACATTTCAATATTTTACCTACAATGAACCAACCAGGAAACAATTTCAGAAACCGTTTATGACACACCTACATCATACTCAAACGAAGATATATGGGTAGAAAGAAACTATACAGTAACATCAGTTTACAGATTATTTAACAATAGAGAGAACATTTAGAAATATGTGCATACAACTGTTAGATAATAAATAAGAAAGTGAAATAGTGCCACTTAATCGACTATTTACCAGTGTCATAAAAGATAAATTAATAAACAAATCAAGAATTCCTGTTCAATACAAAATCTGACTAAAGTAGTAGCCATACACAAGCAAATTGTAAACTAGGATGAAGCTGTGTTCGCTGCTTAGATAAACATCGTTATAATATAATCAATTGAAAAGAAAGAAACGCGATTCATACAGGTTGTCATAATGAAACGTAAAATAAAACAAAATCAGGTAATTATCGCACAAACTATAATATGGAAATAATGGAAATATCTATCATTCTATCATTAAGTAATATTGCGTTAATCTCATCACACAAACAACCAAATAAAAAATAGCAATAAATATTATAGAAACAATATTTATTAATAACAAGAAAAAATATTAATGCGAGATATTAATGCAACTAGAAGAGCTATAAAACAGCTCATACTTTCTCGCATTATTTCTAAATGATGTAATTTTCGAAAATTCAGAGAGATCAACGAACATTTGAGTTGCGCAGTATTTTGAAGTGACCTTTCCTTTATTCCTAGGAAAGAGGAAGTAAAGAAATCATTTAGACCAGTATTTGAGAAATTGTTTTTTAATATACATTTTTCATTAAATTCTGTCAGAAATTACGCGAATACTACCCGTGTTTTAAAATTGTACATGAACTCTTTTAAAGATCTATTATTTTAGAACAAATTTAATTTAAGAGTTAAATGGCGATTTTCTATGTTGGTCTTTTGCATTGTTAAATTTTTACAGTTTTTGAAATTACAAATTTGGTGGAAAATGGAACGGTCACATTTTTAGCGTCCTTTAACATGCGAGGATTATTTAAAATATTGGAACTTTTTTAAGAAAATAATTCTTTAAAAAATGCCTATGTATCACAAAAATTACGTGAAAACCACGCGAATTTTCGAAAACTGGTACACGACCTTATTTCAATATCTACCTTTGAACAATCGACTTTATTAATAAAAACACTTCTATCTTCAAATTGTTGTTGTAGAATATGCCAAAAAAGGTTGGACTTTTGTAATTTTTCAATACTCAGCGTGTTTTATCAAAAATCAGGCGCTTGTGATTCTTTTAAACGCTTTTTACGCTCTTCGAAAACAAAGTTGAATTAAAAAAAATGTGAAAAATCGCTCACCATCTACAACCCCACGCCGCATTCCGCATAATATATAATCTATATATATATATATATATATATATATATATTGAAATGAAGTGCCTTTCTGTATTAAGAAATGCTAAAAGTCATACATTCCAAATTAAAACAAATACATCTTGGTCAGCGCACATAACGACCCACCGCCAACGGCAAAATCGGGGGAATCGGTGAGGCGAGCGACGGTTAGGCAGT